AAGGCAGACAAGTTAATAAAGAAAAAAGCACACCCTTTCTTCTGTTCAAACCGCCACAATCGCAGAAGTAATTAGTCCAACCTGAAACAATTTCTTTTGAGCTGCAGCCTCTATCACACCCTTCTCACTGAAGTTCACATAAGAACAAGGACTCATTAGCTGTTCTAAAAGTATTTTCAGATCTGGTACATTCTATTCTACTATGATGCTATTATGGGATCGCTATTTTTTAGCTTTCCCCTTTCTTTTTTTCACATTTAACAGGATAATTACTAGAGGACAGAATTGTAATTTATTTGTATCATTATTCGTAATCAATTTTTATATCTATACAAATAAATGCATCCAAAAGTTAAAATATGGTTGAAAGAGGAATTTAGGGTACAGCAAACAAAGAACATGATGCACATGAAAAAAGGCACTGAAAGCCCCAAAAAACCTAACAAAAATATTTCAGTATTAAGAAAGTATCCGTGCAGTTATGGGCAAATCAAAGTGCTGCTTTGACATTAATTGATTACCTATGATTACGAAAGAAAAATTAAAGATGTGATGATTATTAAGGTCAAGGTCAAATGTGTCTAAATAGCAGATTTTCAACAGGTCTAGCTGTACAAATTGTAGACTTACTGTATATGCTCCGTGCAGAAAAACGACTCTCAACAAAGAATTTAACACATGTCTGAGAGTTTTTCCCTTTTTTCTTATATTTTTTCTTTTCATTTTCTTACACATTTGTGAACAATTGATTTCTTTGTATCTGTGGCATTCTAGTGTTGTTGCCAACATCTGATGTTAGTTCTATCAGTGGCTCCATTACAGACAAAAATGTTGACATGTTCAATAGTTATTCTACCTACAATATATATTTAATTATTCGCTATGCAGAGTTTCCAGATACTCCCCATTGTATCTAGAGAAAGTGTTTCAAAGGACATGGCCTGAAATACACTGAAAGTCATCAACAATGTGATGTCACCCATTCACTCATGAGCACACATATTAAGGTACATACATCTGCGTGAACGTTTTTTCTTTCCGGCTGTGATGACGCTGATGCTTTTGCATCATGCGTGTGCCAAGTCCTTGTGACGGGAGCAGGTCTCTTTGCAAAACTAAAACCAGAAAATCTCTTCTTGTCGCACTTCATTATTAGGCAACAGGTTGAAAAAAGGTGTGGGAAAGAGAGCAGGAAGGCAGCCAGTTGGACTGGTAGAGTCAGCTAGGAAAAGAACAAGCCAAGTGACGGAAGTGAGAAGTTACTGTATCTAAGGATAGCAACAACATCAACATGGTTTACACATCAAGAAGTCAATCCCCTTTTGGATTTTTTAAAACAACATTTTTCTCACATAATTTTTTTTTAAAGCCACTGACAACAGGGTCAACAGGTAGTTCAGGGTATTGGATTAAAAGCTCCAACTGCAGCTCTTAAATAGTTGCTTCCTGCAGAGCATATTCGGGTGGAGCGAGCCACAGTCTGTCTTAATGGAATGGGTTTAATCTCTTTAATTGTCTGTTTGATTTCAGGACGGTTCTGTTTGGCAGGTTTTTTTTTTCAGGGCTTTCTTGAAAATGTGAAACCTGCACATTGAGGCTGACCTGTGACCAGTTCAGGAACAGAAGAAAAAAAAAACCTTGCAGGAATGCAGAAAGGAATCTAACAGCTACAAGCCTTTTCTTTCTGTGTATCTGTTGAGTTTCTATTAAATGCTTTTCTTACAAAAGGGATACGGAGAGACTCACTGGAAATATGCAGACAGTTACATATACTGTACAATCATTTCTTTTCTTTATAGAGCTCTGACAAATTTTTCTTCTGTTTTTGACAGAAATTAAATAAAAGTTGTTGAGGGAAGTAGTGTGTCATTTCAAATATGTATTCATAAAAAAATGTTTGCCTCCAAAACAGCAGATTTTAGGTAACTTTAACCTCAGAAACATCATCAGATCTTTTACAGACAAGTGCACTGAAGTGAAAAAAAAATCTCGTTTTTTTAAGTAAACAGACATTTTAAGTATGTTTTCTTTGCGTAATTGTAATGCTTTGCAAAATTACTCACATTTTCGACAATACTTTGTATCTTTTAATAAAAGAATCAGAAAACTGGGGCATACGTTTGTATTTAAAACCATTTATTCTCACATTTCTAAATAAAATTCAGTGTAGATGATTGCAATAATTGATGTTTACAGCCAACAGGATCAGGTCGACTTTAGAGGAGCAGCTGAGATTCAAAGCTCATGTGGAAGAGTCTGTGGACTAGACAATTATAAGTTATGCACTCAAAAAATCTGGTCTGTTTCAAAGCCTGGGCCAGACATTCCCCTTACAATGCAAAAACAGCTGTGAGAACCACAGTGGAATAGTGGGGACCAGACTCAGTCAAAGTGCGGGTCTGAATCTGTGGCAAGATTAATAGATTAATACTCATGGTCGTTTTTCATAGAAACTGATTTTGGTTAAGCTATTTTGCAAAGAAGAATGGGCAAAAGGAGTCGCTCTGAAGATAGTAAGTGAAGAACAAAATTCTATCTTGTCTTTGCTTATTATTCTATCAATCTTACAATCTCAGACCTGAAATTGTTCATAATTCTCACATACTTCCGAATATTGGGAGCTTTTTGTGTGTCTAAGATCCTGTAGAAAACATTATTTCCTGGATGTCACAGTATACTGTTGAAAGCTGGTTGTTTGGGTTTGTAACCCCTGACTGGTTTCTATCTGTTTTGATGCCAACAGAGAAGAACAGAAGAAACCCAATCAAAGAAAGTAGGAGGAAAGAAAAAAAGGATTTCGGAAATGTTTTTTTTGCATTCCTCATCTGTGACTGTGAGTGAAAAATGGATCCTCACAGGGTGCGAGTCTTTCTCACTCTCTGCAACCTCATGATGCGATGGCAAATCTGTCAGGATTATCAAGATTTATTATTTAATCTCACCTTAAACTATTCTAATTTGTGGCTGCCAGGTCAAACTTTACAAATACTTTTCAATACTGAGAAATTTTCCTTACTTTTTCTTGCTTTGATATTTTTTCATTGATCTATTCTATTTCTATTATCTGATCAAATGGTTTCAGAACAATACGTTGTATGATTTGAATTAAATATTCTTGCTTTTGTTTTACAAGCTTCTCACAGCAGTTTGCTGGAATTTTGTCTCATTCCTCCTGAGAGAACTGATGTAAATGAGTCAGGATTGTTGGCTGCCTTCTCACACACACACCTTTCGGTTCTGCCTGCACATTTTACAAGTAATTTCTAATTACATTGAGATCAAGCTTTTGTGTTGAGCAATCTAAAACATTGTCATTGTTTTCCTTAAACCACATTTAAAACACCCACTAGTTTTACATAGCTGGAAATGGCTTAGCTTAAAGCTAAAAACCTTTTAATAAAGGCAGAATTCTGTTGGTATATAAAGATAGCTACAGAGCTGCTGCCTTTAAGCTTCTGGCAGTGCAGTTATTATTAGTTCACCACTAGATAGAGCCAAACAAAATAATAAAGTGCTAATTTTTTTGTTATATCCTTGCATTAAAGAATCACCCGACAAAACTGATGGAAAATATATTTTTCCCAGTGACGTGTCTGCATTAAGATGAAAACCTTTCTCCACTCCACCAAAATACACATATGGCTCTTTGAGATCAGGATCCCACAGAGATATACTCAGTGCATGACCTTTTCACTTGTGAGCATCCTATTTTAGGCCCAAATGTCACTGTCTACCCTCCAGGGTAATAATCATGCAAACCAACTTGGCCTGTTGTTAAACAGTGTTGAGTTCGGATTACACAATAGAGTTTTGATTGCTATTTAAATGACAGCTGCTGCTCTTAATGGCAGGGAACGGCTCAGTGAGACAAAACAGGAACATCTCAGGTTTCACTCACTGTACAATGAGCTGAAAGATAGTCAAACACTACAGTTTAGATAGAAACCCTTAGGGAGCTTCTGTCCTTCGATAGATAGATAGATAGATAGATAGATAGATAGATAGATAGATAGATAGATAGATAGATAGATAGATAGATAGATAGATAGATAG